CTAAACTTATAAGAATTAATAATGTGTATATATACAAATATATATTAAATAGATTAATTAACAAAAGAGTTTTAAAATATTTTTTTATAATTTATAGACTAAAAATATATAAAAAAATACTTTTAAAACTAAAAATATTTAAAATTAAAAATTTAGAGGGTAAAATTTGATATTTAATCTATATTTTATGTATCCAACCAAGATGGTTTTTTCCTCTTTCTTTTGCCAACAACCAGGTTTCCTTTTGGACCCTACGGTAATCATACCCTTATTTATTTATTTTTAACAATTTACAATTTTGAGAATTGGGAAAGGATAATTTTTTAAAGTATTGATACGAAACTCGAAATTTTGATTAACTAATCCAAACACCTTAAAACTTGAGGGTAAATCACTTGAATCAAAAGATTTAGTTTTATATCCTTATTTTTTGGACATTTCAATGATGGTAAGTCCTTATTTTCTTTCGCAAACAATCAATCATTAATGTTGTTAGGGAAGAGCAGCCATTTTAGATTAACGGCTTAAATGTCGAACATAATGTTGAGGTCCGACGTAATTCAATTTCAGATTAATCGGAATTCAATGTAGTTATCAGATACCAAAAAATTAGTATATAAAAAAAGTTTTTTATCACCTTGGTAACTAATTAGTATTCAACTTTTTAGAAAGTTAATAAAAAGATAATTTTTTATAAATTTTCTAATCTCCTAATTAATGAATAATATTTTGTTTTTGAGTGGAATTAACGAAGAGAATTTAATATGATATGCATAAATTAATACTATGATAAAAGTTTAAATTAGACTCTAAAGTGTCTTTACTTACGGGAAACATCTCTTTTGCTTTGCTCAAGGCAAATTTTAATTGTTGGCCACAAAATTGTCCCCACAGCTCGATGGAACAAACTGAAAACAGCTTGGGTGGTAGCTGTGGTTTGGTGGCAAGCTGAAGTTTATCCTTTTCACAAATGCAATTTGCCCAAGAAAGAAAGGGAAAAGACTACTTTCCCATACCATGCGTATTATTAAGATCAAATTGAATAATTGATAAGTCCAAGTTGGCTTTGTTTGTCCCACTTACTATCAATTCTTTAGCGTAACTACTAGAAATTGCTTAGTTTTAGTTTTTAGTTTTGATTTTTATCACGAAAAAAAGTGTTTTATAATTTAAATTATAAAATATTGATTTTTTTTATATAAATTTTGAAATCAAAACTTTAAAAAATACTAACAATTGTTTAAGGTAAATTTTAATATTAATAACGAAAAATATAAACTTGTTTAAATTGTATGAAAAAAGCATTGTTTAATAGTATAAAAAAAGTATTGTTTAATAATATGAAAAAAGTATTATACAGCTCAAACTGTATTAAATTGTATAATTATAATTATTGGATGGGGTGGTTTTATAATATTTGGAGCCTCATCCCCATTTAATAGTTTATGTTTTACAGTTTATTACAATCTAAATTATAAAATATG